ATCATTAAGTGAACTCATTGCTCACAGTACCTCTAGGTTGGTACCAATATCACCTGGTATTAGCAGACCTTTTAATATGACTCAGGATTTATACAAAAAATTTCACATTAAAAGATGAAGTCTCTTACTATGGCTCCCAACAATTAGCTGTTGAGAGGACATTTTATTAAGTAACATTATTTATCTCATACGTGTGTGTGATACAGGCCACTGGATAAACTTATGCTTTATCAACGAGTAGATGCTTTATCAATAGCACTTCCGGTTTTGACACGATCCCTCGCTTCAAGATTTTATTTTATTGAAATTTTTATTTGTGAAAATTATTGCCCTAATAAAATGAATAATAAGGAGCGATAATTTCATTGAAAGCCAAAAAAAGAGGACTTGTTTATGTCAAAACGGTGTCTAATTCTATCAAGGAACCTGTATTGACTACTTGAAGACAGATGGTACCCCCCCCCCTTTAAATTCGTTTTTGGAGAAAGGAAAGCCTAGCAGTTAAATTGTTGTTATAAGATTCCTTTAATATCTTCAATAATGCTTTCTTATATAACACTACGAATGCCTACCTAGTAATGTAGATGTAACATACCAGGGATCAACAATGAATCTACAAGTAGACCCTAGCCCTGCTTAAGGTCAAGATCTAGTAAATAACTCAGGGTTAGGGTTAGGGTTAGGGTTATTTTCATGTCATTCAATTTGAAATACTGTAGACGTACTTTTTTCCACGGGGTCATAATTCCGCGCAATCTCCATTTCTGTTTAATCCGCGTGTAGAAAATTACGCGGATTTCCTAGACTGTCACTATATGCCTTACATTTATATTAAGAACGCGTGGACAAATTTCCGCGGAAAATTTGTGACCGCGTACATAGCGTAAATTTATACCACGCGGAAAAAAGTACATCTACAGTAATACGAAAAGTAAACCGGATACCTGTATCAAATTTGATATTTATTTAAAGAAGAGGCCATGAACATACTAATTACCGTTTTCTGAGAGACTGTAGGCAATCTGCATACATTTCCTTTGACGAACACGAAAAAAACTCCCATGTTCATGACTGGTTTTCTTAATTTTTCATTGAAAATGACAGTTTAAAATATAATTTTTCATCTTGTTTACTTACAAATTATGCCCCGAAACACCTTATTTGACCAAGCTAAAGTTGTAAAACATCAATAAAGGAATTTATTTCTCAAGTTTCATAAATCTGTAGGCACCTTTCATTTACTAGATCTTGACCTAAACACGTTTTGTACTGCCACATGCCATCGTCCAGAGAGTTCATTTTCACGATCCCATGGTCCTTACAACATTCAACAAGATGTCCGTTTGATGTAAAGCTCCAGCAATTGTCACATAATGTTTTCAAAGATGCAGATAGAAAAAATGCTAAATTTTGAACGCGATCTACTTTCTTTTGAGGCATGTAAACATCAACGGTGCTACGTCATCAAGTTATACGTCATCAGTTTGAATAAGCAATCATTCATGTAGTTTCGCAGGGGAAGTCTCAAAGTCGTATGAGATAAATAGAACATCTATAATTGTGTGATTTGATATTGGCTTTATCCACTCTTTGAAATGGTGTATATTTATTTGCTCCGCAAGCCTCGCGAATATAAACACCATTTCAACTCGTTGGATAAAGCCAATATCAAATCATACAATATAGATATCCTCTATTCATTTTCATTTCCATTCATATGTTTTTTTGAAACATTACTTTGAACATGGAATAAATAACACTTCAGAATCTGACACACAAGTTATATATTTCATTATTTGTTTGTTTTTTTTTAAAATACATTTATGGAGTTTTCTCCGATTCATTAGATTACATTATTAGATAACCGGAGCCGAAGGTTTTCTGATCATATTTTGCCCGTCGTCCGTCCAGTTGTCCGTCCGTTTGAAAACTTTTCATATTTTTTAAATTCTTCTCAAGAACCATTGAGCCAATTTTGACCAAACTTTGTATAAAGCATCCTTAGGTGAAGAGATTAATAAAATGAAGTTTCTTAACAAGTGGTGATAATCAAGAAAAGACAAAAATAGGGTAGAGTCATTAAAAAAATCTCTCCAAGAACCACTGGGCCTAAAAAAACTGAAACTTATGTGGAAGCAGGTAGGGATAGTGTAGATTCTAAATTGTTCAAATCATGACCCCAGGGGTAGAACGGGGCCACAATAGGGAGACAAGGTTTTACATAGAAATATAAATGAAAAATCTTTAAAAAACTTCTTCTCAAGAACCACTAGGCCAGTAAAGCTGAAACTTATGTCGAAGCATCCTGGGGAGTGTAAATTTAAATTGTTCAAATCTTGACCCCTGGGGTAGGACATGGCTACAATAGGGAATCAAAGTTTTGCATAAAAATATATATATATATATATATATAATCTTTTAAAGTCTTCTTCTCAAGAACCGCTGGGCCAGAAAAGCTGAAACTTATGTAGAGGCATCCATAGTGTAAATTTTAAATTGTCCAAGTTATGAGCCTTGGGGTAGGATGGGGTCACAATACATATAACAAGGGGGGAATCTGCATGGTAAACAACAGCATGGTCAAAGCTCCTTAGGTGAGCGAGGTGGCCAATGGGCCTCAGATTTTTAGTTATTTTTACCTTAAACATATACATGTTCTTTGTCTGAATTCTGATTGACTTTCTGATGCAAACTACCACTAAAATGTCTACAGATTTTTTGACAATGACAGTAACCCACTCCTGCACTACTTTGATGTTAAATGGTCAATGTTTTTTCTGACACCCCCTAGTATTGTTCACATGACTTATTAGCTTGATTTCTCAATCTGTTTGCTATCTCCAAATCTCATATGAACACAAGCTAAAAAGATAAATAACTCAATATTGATAATACCAATCGAATCAACTATTTTATTCCCCACTTCAAAGAAGGGAGGGCATATTGCTTGCAGCTGTCTGTTGGTCGTCAGTTTGTCAATCTTTCTTTCTGTGCATCTATATCAACAACAGTGTATGTTCATTTTCATCGCAGAAGTTCATATACTGAAATGAGATTAATCATAAAAATATCTAGGTCAAGTTTCGTTCTGAGTATGATCGAGCAATATTTATACAGAGTCTTGCCCTTTTGACTTTCCACAAAATTCCAATTATTTGGTTGCATAAGCATAAACAGGTCTTATTTATTTAGAATTTAGAATATTATGATGCAATAAAATGTCTTTTATCTTATATAGAGAAACACCTTGAGATGAATCGGGTTATTATATAGATTCCACACAACTATATAATATGTCGTTATCCAAGTACAAATCAACACCAGAGACCACAAACACCGCGAGACTGGCGAGGCTCGTTCTGGGACCCTGTACGGATGTGTTACGTGATATTCTTAAAAAGAAAATTCCACCGTCTGATTTATCTAAAGAAGTGAAACAATGGACTGACGATCTAAAGAAAAACAGAAAACGAAACCCTCTAATTCCATCACAAAATGACATCATTTTCCCCACACCGACAAATCAGTATAGGGGAGACTACTCAGACCTGGATATATCTTTACTGTATACAATTTTAAGAAATGTCTGTAAAATACCTCCACATTCTAAGGGTTGGGGAGAGAATCCAGACCCTGCCGATAGAAGTGTTGCCGCCAATATCGAAAGGATTCGTCTTCTTCGGAACAAATACTATGGTCATTCTGCCGATATATCACTTTCCGATTCAGACTTTAACCAAGAATGGCGGAACATCTGGGATATCGTTGTAGAATTGGAAAGAGATCTTGGGACGTCTACTGTCTACCAGGAGTCTGTGAAGGAAGTCAAAACATGTTCCATGGATCCTGAACTTGAGCATAAATATATTGAAAAGCTTGGGGCTGTTGATGAATTACTTTCAGCTGTATCCAAATTGTCAGGTAATGTAAGATTCAGGTGCCCTGTACTTTAAACATACTAAATGCTTTCGTGCTCCCTCGTAAAATATGGCACATAAAGTAGAAATATATACATTTGTGGTATCTCTCCATTATATAAACATACAGAGAGAAAATATCTTCAATTCTGTATGAAGTTTTTCAGAGGTCAGAGGTCAATACGTGACCTAATCACACGGCGCAATAATATCTACGTGTACATAAATCATAAAATGACCTGCTCTACTTGCTTTTCATGTATAAAGATGAACAAAATAAGCAAGTAAAATGATAATTATTTTATTTAAAATGTAAACAAGTTTTTTTCATACAGTTTTTGGGCTATCGATTCAACCTGTGTACATAGAAAAAAACTAGGAGCCAAACGAGTACCGTGTGTTTACATTTTTCTTCACTTTTGTCACACAGTCTCTAATGTGCATCCTTATTTTTAGGGAAAACCTTTGGTTAAATTTTCATGATAAACCTTCATTTTGTCTTTAAATTTTACTCACGATAAATGTGTTAATCTGTTGAAAAATATTGCATATCATGCCATGAACAGCTGCCAAACACCTCGGCGTTTTCGTAGTTCAGTGTAAAGCTGTCGCCAGTGTCTCCGTGTTTATCAGTGTTTTATGATAAGTATGCCTTAGTTATTGAAACCGTAGAATGTTTTTGATCAAATTAAAAATAAACTGGCTCGGACAAGTGTCTCAATCCATCGGATCCATCTATTCCTTTCCGGTGACCGAAATTCCTCCAACTTTTTATTTTCAAACTTCGGACGTGTTTCTTGTGTCTTTTCAGCATCGATTATCATTTTTCACGAATAAAAAATATTCCCAGACAACAATCTGTTCACTATAACTGATCACAAGTAGCCTTTCACAAAATATTCCCTTCGAAATAGATTCCTTAGCCTAATGCAATTGAAGCGTAACCGCCATGCAAGCCGATTTACACCTTGCGTCATTTTTCAAAATGTACGACGGACGGTTAGTGCAATAATTTAAATTCGAAAATTTTAAAATTGTCTCTCTCAAATGTATATATAAGTAATAAATAACAATTTATAAACTTCAATATAATCTTTCAGGCTTTCTTAAACTTCTTCCAAACCTCGTGGCATTTTTGTTTACAATAATCGCTGTATCTCTACTCGATCTCACTTCAGCTTCCGACTCGGATTCTAATTCGACATCGTTACCTAATCCTAATTCGGCGTCCGAGTCCGATTTTAATTCAGTGTCAGCGTTAGGCCCCGGTTCGGCGTCTGTACATTCTTTTCCATTCCTGGGTTGTATTTCATTTCTCTCCAAATGTTCATCATCTTTAAAAGCATCCAAATTTGGTAGTTCTGTAGGAAAACTTTCTTCTTGAATTCTTCCATTGAACCAATAAATTTTCTTTTCGCCTTTGTATTCTTTTAAATTATCTCCGTGGACGACAACTCCCGGTAAGTCCTTTTTATGTTGGATTTTGTAGAGTACTTCAGTAATTTTTTTTGTTATTACCCAGGGGCCGTTCCAATTTCTACATATTTTCTGTTTTTTTTTTTCCTGGGGTTACTATTTTCTGGTTTCTCCACACTAATTGACCTACTTCGTAGCTCTTTTCTCTAACTTTCAAATCATATTGTTGTTTCTGCCTTTCTGAAGATTTCTGTAAGGATTTACGTGCAAATTCATGAGCCTGGCACAAGTTATCTTTCAAATTCCGCACAAAATCTGTCTCAAACGTCTTCTCTTCTACTACATTATTCGCCATAATGTCAAGTGGTAGTTTAATTTCTCTTCCAAATACCATTTTATGAGGTGATACGCTAGTACTTTCATGAGGCGTTGAATTATAGGCCAAGGTTATGTAATCCAAATGTAGATCCCAGTCCTTTTGATTACTCTTTATGTACTTTGACAGCATGTCTTGTATGGTCCTATTCATTCTCTCTATCATGCCATCTGAGCTTGACTTTAGGCCAAAGTGGGTACTCAGTGCCCACCTCTACTGGGCACTCAGTACCCACTTTTGAAAACGGTGGGTACTGAGTACCCACCACCTGTTTGCAGCGTTTAGGGGGGTCCCAGATCCCAACTCGGAGTGTGGAGCAATAGTACTCGACTAGGGGAACATTTTGGGATACTTTCGGAAACTCTGGCCCCACCCCTCCGGACTGTAGGGGGGGTCGGGACTGAAAATCCGGGAATTTTTAAAGTCGTCATATCGTAATGTGTGAGGTGTCGTTGGATAGGTATGGACGAGTACATTACAGATATATAATTTTTTTTTCGGTAGGACGTCCGGTTCGTCCGCAAGTCGGGTTGGAAAGTCCGGGAAATTCATACGCGGAGTCAAAAATACAAGTATTTTGGCTATAAAATTCTTATTTATTGAGTTAGTGCAAAGTTCTTTATACCATTTTCTTTGTGTCATTGAGACCAACAATTATATTTTAAAAAAATTATTGTATCTTTAAAAATAAAAATTTTATGAAGTTATTTCCAGTATTTTTGGACTTAGAAAATTTTGTCGCGAATGAAAAACATACTTATAAGGATGTAAAACTTTTATTTTTTAAGCTAGGTAAAAGTTTTCTATATCATTTTCTTCGTCTTTGAAAGACAAAGAATTAAATCTAATCAGATCTCTTGTAAGCTGGAAAATAAAAAAAATTCATTCAAAAAACCCTTTAAATTTAACACCGCGGGCACAGAGTACCCACTGAAAAAGTGGGTACTGAGTACCCACTTTGGTAAAAAATATATTATTTATTGACCTACAACAAAGTTCTTTATATCATTTTCTTTGTATCACTGAGACAAAAAAGAATATGTAATCAGATTATTTGTATCTTAAAAATTAAAAATTTTCTAAGCTAAATACTGTTATTTGGACTTAGAAATTTTTGTCGCGTTTGAAAAACATACTCATAAGGGTGTAAAATTTTTATTTTCTAAGCTAGGTAAAAGTTTTTTATATCATTTTCTTTGTCTCATTGAGACAAACAATTATATGTAATAAGATTTATTGTGTCTTTAAAAATAAAAATGTTATGCAGTTATTTCCAGTATTTTTGGACTTTGAAATTTTTGTCGCGTAGGAAAAACATACTCATAACGGTATTAAACTTTATTTTTTCTGCTAGGTAAATGTTTTTTATATCATTTTCTTTGTCTAAGTCCAAATTAAAAGGAGTTTAGGGGCTGAAATTTTTATTATATACTCTACAGAAAATCTGATTACATAAATCTAAGGGTGAAAAGACAAAAAAAATGATGTATAGAACATCAATATAGGATAACAAACAAAAAATTGACCCCTAAAACCTTTTTAATTTTAAGGAACTTCTTGTGACCTTAATTTCCACATTGAAATAATTCCTTTTTGGGGATGAAATTTTTATTTGTGGAGCTATCTTAATGTGCCTTATATCATTTTCTTTGTCTCAATGTGACGGGGAAGAATATGTAATCACTTTTATCATAAGACATCTTTTAAGATTTTTATGCCCCTAAAACTCTGAAATTGGACTTAGAATTTTTTTTCACACTCTAAAAAATGCTCATAGGGTCTAAACCTCCCTTTAAATAAAGATTTTATATTATCTTTTGTATAATCAATTTCTGCTTTTTAAGATGAACATCATATGTAAAGTATATCTATATAGTTGGAAAATTATAGAAATCAGCCCCAAAAAGCATTTTCAATAGCGCACTGAAAATTTTCTAAGTCCAAATTAAAGGAGTTTAGGGGCTGAAATTTTCATTATATACTCTACAGAAAATCTTATTACATATTCTTTCTCGTCTTGAAAAGACAAAAAAAATGATATATAGAACATCAATATAGGATAACAAACAAAAAAATTGACCCCTAAAACCTTTTTAATTTTAAGGAACTTCTTGTGACCTTAATTTCCACATTGAAATAATTCCTTTTTGGGGATGAAATTTTTATTTGTGGAGCTATCTTAATGTGCCTTATATCATTTTCTTTGTCTCAATGTGACGAAGAAGAATATGTAATCACTTTTATCATAAGACATCTTTTAAGATTTTTATGCCCCTAAAACTCTGAAATTGGACTTAGAATTTTTTTTCACACTCTAAAAAATGCTCATAGGGTCTAAACCTCCCTTTAAATAAAGATTTTATATTATCTTTTGTATAATCAATTTCTGCTTTTTAAGATGAACATCATATGTAAAGTATATCTATATAGTTGGAAAATTATAGAAATCAGCCCCAAAAAGCATTTTCAATAGCGCACTGAAAATTTTCTAAGTCCAAATTAAAGGAGTTTAGGGGCTGAAATTTTCATTATATACTCTACAGAAAATCTGATTACATATTCTTTCTCGTCTTGAAAAGACAAAAAAAATGATATATAGAACATCAATATAGGATAACAAACAAAAAAATTGACCCCTAAAACCTTTTTAATTTTAAGGAACTTCTTGTGACCTTAATTTCCACATTGAAATAATTCCTTTTTGGGGATGAAATTTTTATTTGTGGAGCTATCTTAATGTGCCTTGTATCATTTTCTTTGTCTCAATGTGACGGGGAAGAATATGTAATCACTTTTATCATAAGACATCTTTTAAGATTTTTATGCCCCTAAAAATCTGAAATTGGACTTAGAATTTTTTTTCACACTCTAAAAAATGCTCATAGGGTCTAAACCTCCCTTTAAATAAAGATTTTATATTATTTTTTGTATAATCAATTTCTGCTTTTTAAGATGAACATCATATGTAAAGTATATCTATATAGTTGGAAAATTATAGAAATCAGCCCCAAAAAGCATTTTCAATAGCGCACTGAAAATTTTCTAAGTCCAAATTAAAGGAGTTTAGGGGCTGAAATTTTCATTATATACTCTACAGAAAATCTGATTACATATTCTTTCTCGTCTTGAAAAGACAAAAAAAATGATATATAGAACATCAATATAGGATAACAAACAAAAAAATTGACCCCTAAAACCTTTTTAATTTTAAGGAACTTCTTGTGACCTTAATTTCCACATTGAAATAATTCCTTTTTGGGGATGAAATTTTTATTTGTGGAGCTATCTTAATGTGCCTTATATCATTTTCTTTGTCTCAATGTGACGAGGAAGAATATGTAATCACTTTTATCATAAGACATCTTTTAAGATTTTTATGCCCCTAAAACTCTGAAATTGGACTTAGAATTTTTTTTCACACTCTAAAAAAGGCTCATAGGGTCTAAACCTCCCTTTAAATAAAGATTTTATATTATCTTTTGTATAATCAATTTCTGCTTTTTAAGATGAACATCATATGTAAAGTATATCTATATAGTTGGAAAATTATAGAAATCAGCCCCAAAAAGCATTTTCAATAGCGCACTGAAAATTTTCTAAGTCCAAATTAAAGGAGTTTAGGGGCTGAAATTTTTATATTATACTCTACAGAAAATCTGATTACATATTCTTTCTCGTCTTGAAAAGACAAAAAAAATGATATATAGAACATCAATATAGGATAGCAAACAAAAAAATTGACCCCTAAAACCTTTTTAATTTTAAGGAACTTCTTGTGACCTTAATTTCCACATTGAAATAATTCCTTTTTGGGGATGAAATTTTTATTTGTGGAGCTATCTTAATGTGCCTTATATCATTTTCTTTGTCTCAATGAGACGAGGAAAAATATGTAATCACTTTTATAATAAGACATCTTTTAAGATTTTTATGCCCTTAAAACTTTTAAATTTGGACTTAGACTTTTTTTGCACAAAATTGAAAGAGTTTAGGGGATGAAATTTTTATTATCTATCCTACAAAAAACCTGATTACATATTCTTTCTCGTCTTGAAAAGACGAAAAAAAGGATATATACAACTTTTAGATAGGGTCAGAAATAAAAAAAATTGAACCGAGAAACCTTTTTTTCATTTTAGGGTTTTTATCTGAATTTTAATATTTTCATATTGAAATAATTCCTTTTTAGGGATGAAATTTTTATTTGTGGAGCTATCTTAATGTGCTTTATATCATTTTCTTTGTCTCAATGAGACGAGGAAAAATATGTAATCACTTTTATCATAAGACATCTTTTAAGATTTTTATGCCCTCAAAACTTTGAAATTTGGACCTAGAATTTTTTAACGCATTCCCAAAAAACTCCTTATTGAGGCTAAAGCACACTAAAAATTAAGATATGGTATTATTTTTGGTATCAGTGTGTTATGAAAACTTTTTATCTAAATTAATTGATTTTGTTTTTAAATTTTGCAATATAGATAATTTTAAATATATTTATGCTGAAGATTTGAGGCCCAAATACAATAAAAAGAGTACACAATAAAGTATTCGTAAATAAAAATGAAATGAATTAATGAAATTTTTATATACTAATATTCAAATATGATTCATAAATTCGTGTCAATCAAAATTTATACTTGTGTACCTGTTGTTTGATTGACAGTTCACAAAATTTTGATCTTCGAACAGGTAAATTTCATTGGTTAGTGACACCTGTACCATACAGGTAAATTACCTCGAAGATCAAAAGCTTGCGACCTGTCAATCATACGAGGCGAACAAAGGTGTGAAATTTGATTGACAGGTTCAGTAGAGCATGTTAACTGACGTCTAGCACAGGTAATTTACCTGTACTGTACAGGTGTTATCAACCAATAGAATTTACCTGTTCATAGATCAAAAGCTTGCGAGCTGTCAATCATACGAGGCAAATAAAGGTGTGAAATTTTATTGGCAGGTTCAGTAGAGCATGTTAACTGACGTCCAGCACAGGTAATTCACCTGTACAGTACAGGTGTTATCAACCAATAGAATTTACCTGTTCATAGATCAAAAGTTTGCGACCTGTCAATCATAGGAGGCGAACAAAGGTGTGAAATTTGATTGACAGGTTCAGTAGTGCATGTTAACTGACGTCCAGTACAGGTAATATACCTGTATGA